AAGGCGAATAATCACCTCGGTGCGGTAATTCGCTCGTAATGGAACCAATGTTATGGTGACAACATTTGCCACCACAGCATCCGCGGGAATTTGTGCAAGATCAACACGATTCACAAAAAAATGGCGCTGTAAGCCGCCACGTTCGGCATGCATGTCCATGGCAAATGCAAGACTCGGTGAAGAGGGCGCCGATGTGCGCCCCAGTTCCCCACCGCCGCATTGCGTAACAAAATCAGGCGGTGTGAGCGGTGAACATATGGAATTATCATTAGTATTATTATTAGTATTGTTATTGCACAATGAATGTGCGGAGACTGTTGCCATGGATGCGCTGTTTGCAAAGGCACGTGTTCCTGTCGCCAAAAAGGCCATGTGTGCAACTTCATCCTCCCCATCCCTCTCATCTCCCCCTTTTTGGTCGTGTGGAGACAACACTGTTGTGAGCTGCTGAAGGAAAAAAGGTGTTGTTAATGATGGCGATTTTGTCGTCTGGGCTGCGGATGATAGGGCTTCCGGCGTCGCTGTTGTGATTGTGGTTTCCCCGGCAGACCTAGCAGTTTTCTTGGGGACCACGGACTCTGTTGCATTTTCTTCCAGCGTTGAAACACCCGTCACAAAACCGATAAATTCCGCCACGCGTAACATTTTCTTCTCAAAATCCGTGTCCTCGTTATGCACCACAGAGACGAGGTAGTGACCACGCCATGCATTTAGAGTCATGGCATCCAGGCGTCGTGCATCCTCCAGTCCCTCGGAACGAGCAGCGTTATTTTCAATCGTGTAAAACTGCTCGGCACCAATGGCTGCCGTTACCAAATGGACAACTGCATCATACCGTGCATCGCTTAACTCCTCATTCGTATACCCCGTTATCTTAAGAATGGCGTCCCACTCCTCGTCCGAGCAATAGGCACTACCGTCCATTGTGCCACGATCATAGAGAATCAAAGATGGTCGAGAGCGCATCGATGCCAACTCGTAAAAGGCATCCTCCAACATCATCATCATCTGAAGAATAACGCGCTGTTGTGTGATACGCTCCTCGCTGGTACTAAGTATTAAATTAACGCCCCCACTATGCAACAGGGTTGCAACTTCGGGTACACAGAATACATTAAAGTTAAGTTTCTCAAACACCCGACGAAGGTATGATAAACATGATGTCTTCCCGCTGCATGGCCCGCCAGTGATAACTACACGATAGATGGGATCATCCATAAGGCTCCTGGTGGAGCGAATGGACTGTGTCAACTGCGACAGGTTGCCATCCTCCTCGGTACTTTCATCCTTGTGGGTTGAAGATGGTGGATGCAGAAGCTGCAATATTGAACGACATCGAACCGCTGCCACAGAGGGCAGTCGTGTGATGATCGCACCGCTGTGGGTATGATAAAAATGGCGTTTAGAGAAAACGGCGTCATTCTGTGATGCGCCAAGACGCTTACTTCCACCGGGAAAATCCAGACCGCTGAAGGCTGTCCTATCCAAAATACAGTTCACCGAGTAAGATCGACCTGAACGTCCAAGACACCCTGTTGCGGTCTCCTCCTGCTTCGTCGTGCATGCATCTTCATTTTGTTTGGGATTATTACTGTGCTGTTCTTCCTGCTGCCCTTCTTCCTCGTTGTTGTCCTGCGATGACGCGTCGTCCTCAGAGAAAAGGCCCTCCAATGTGCTGAGGCTGCTAAATTCCGCTTCGCCTGAGGTAAAAAACACATTTTGTACATTTCCTCCCTTCTTCTTCCCAGAGCCCTTAGTACTCGGTAGAAACGCTCTCGTGCCTTCCTCCTCCGACCCGACCGCGGAAATGGGAAATTCGGAGTCGTTCTCCTCTTTCCTCTCCTCCGCGTCACCTTCATCTCGATCCTCCTGCGACTCAGTGCCCAGACTTTCCGCGCCTAAGCATGACTTCAGAATTAAACTAATGGAGCTGCTGCGAGAGTTTTGACCTATCCTCTGTGCTGCATACGACTTCATCGAAAACAAACCGGGATGTAAATCGACCCCTGAATTCAAGCGCCGCGAAACTCGCCGCTTCTGCCCGCCAATAATTTCCTCCTGCTGCAAATGCCTTTTACTGGATGACGCGGCGCCATCCTTCCCATCATCATTGGAAAAAAAAGATGCGAACCCCGCATGCCGTAAAGACCGGCGCCGCGGTGAGAACTCCCTCCTGTTGGTCCTATTGATGTACGTAAGGGCAGCCGTGGCACCTATTGCTACACCGAGCACAAGGGATGCCGCGGCCAACAGAGGTGTGGGCACAGCGAAAAAAGCGACTCCCCCCATTCCTGCCTATCTTCCACTCTCGCCTTTATAGCGGCAAAGGTTTTAAAATATATATTTGCTGTCAAATTAAGAGAAGATGGAAGGGATGGCAGAATTACATTCCTCAAAGATCAAAGGAGAAAAAAAGGGAATAAAGCATAAAATTGTCAAAAGGGCAAAAAACAGTAAAATTAAAAATAAAAGGACACGACCTCATCTCAGGCTTAAAGAAAGTGGGTGTGTGTGTGTGGGTGTGTGGGGGTGTTTACGTTTGGGTTGGAAAGAGCCAAGATGATCTTGTCGTCACGTTGTCACTTCATCGACCTTCCTTACTAGCCTCGTCTGTGGTGCTGAGTCCCTCCAACTGAGAGTCACGCTGTGCCCTCCGTTCTCTGTCCGCCTCCTCTTCCCAAGACCGTTGCTGCGGGGAGGAGATGGTAGCGAGGTGGATAAAGAATTTCACCGACATCTCCAATTCACTCACCGATACATTGAAGCACACACACTCGCTTTCTCTCTCTCACACTCACACGGTACCTCTACTTATTGTCTTGTACGCACTAGAGATTGCGCGGTCTACTTGGTAATAATTTACGATAATCTTGCCTGTAATATTTTCAACTACTGTTGTTGTGTTCCAGCAGACACGAGGAGTTCAACAGGGCATGCCGTTGTGCCAACTCTGCTGTCGTCCTCCAAGGTCTGATGGAAAGTTCATCGGAATGGCGGTAGCGTAGACACAAGGATGCCGTGTCACGATCGTTGCTTTCAGAAGCAACAACAGCTGTCTACACCCCGTCTGGTGATGTGGAGTCAAAAAAATACACCTTTGTTCCATCAGACAATTCCAACGTCGCCATGGCAGCTTCAAGCTCCTTCTGAAACTGGTGGACAGCCCACCGCCGTCCACGAATGATCACCTTCACCCCATCCCTCGTAGCGCTGGATCCCCTTTTCCTTTCAGTTCCCTCTTGTTCCTCTGGGG